GCAAGTCTTATTGTAGTGGTAGTAGGTTATTTTAGATAAGTTATAAATTTGTCTTATGAAATTTTTTTGTCTTATCAAACGATGTTTGAATTTGCATATTTTTGCATATTGTAGGAAAAGTGTACATTTGAGCGATTTTTCGTATATTTGTGCATATATTGAATTTTTTTAACTTAAATGTAGGTACTTACATACAATTGTCGGGAAAAATCATATTTGGATAACATTGAAAAATATCTTTAAAAATATTATGTTTGGCTAGGAACAATAGGAGCTAATTTTGAGATTTGGGGAAGCCGAAGCCTAAAATCATACTATTATAAAATTGAATAAGTTTAAAAATTTTTTGTAAATGTTTTGGAGGGCTGTTAAAGTTGTTGGTGAAGCTTGGCTACGTTTTGCCCTATTTTCGCATATGGTACGTAAGATTTTATAAGTCTCTTTGTGACAAGACTGTGTTAAAACTATAATTGACATCTAGATTCTAGATTGTACGAAGAAATTTAAATCAGTAGATTCAATCAGTAGGTTCGTCTATCACGGGGTTCACATATCACGTTATTCGTTATTACTTATTTATTATTATTAACCTAGTATTTTATGCCAGTATTTTTAAAAATCCAGTTTCATTTCACAACAGTTTAAAAATGTCCAAAACATACAATAGCTGTGTCCTCCGTCCATCATATTTATCAATATATATTTACCTACCTATATTAAAATTTGTATACCCGTGTTTAAATTATTTTTATCATTTTTATATACCTACTTATTTTTTAGTTTTTTATTACAAAAATTGTAACTATTATGTTTTATGAATTTTTCAAAAATAATATAAAAATGTAGCTGCATATATTTAAGTATATTTTGAAAATGTTGACTGCATATTTCGATAATTTTTAGTAAAACAAGTCAAGTTCTAAACCCAAAATTTATTTATATACGAAAACTGTAAAAATTTGGTTTTAATCTATACTTAAACACCCCCCATTTCATAATTCTGGCTACGCCACTGAATTTTTAGCTATATATACGTAAAAATTGAAGATTATCCGTATCTCTTAAATTCAAAGAATAAAACAAAATTAGGATACGACTGAAAATGTTTTTCTTAGGTTTTTTAAGATAATTTTTAGTGCTTTTCTTAGGATTGTTGGTGGTTCTTTAATTTTTTTTAAGTATTTTTGTTTTTTAGTGTTTTATAGAACTACAAAATTCTAACTCTGTTCATATAGTATATATTGCGATAAGATTACGTTTTCTGAGAGATAATTCACCGAATTTTTTTACGACTGCAAAAGGTCGCATCACTCTCATTCAAAGAACGGTTAACGAGAACCAACGTGGTTAAGTTAGGTTACATAATATTAGCATATCCGTTAAATTTCTAGTTCGATATACCAAAACAAAAAAGTACAAATATATTCAAATCCTGAACAATTAACACTTTAACGTTTAAATGGTATATTATAGAAAAATATACGAATAAAAGAACAATAATAATTGTAAATAAAACTAATCTCAATATTTTTGAACCTATTTCCCTGTATATTCCAAAGGTAAATTTCTTACATAAAAAAAATGTGATTTCCACGAGCGCGAATTTTTATTCCCAGAGCATAAAATATGTCAACTCCACTGATCCAGTTTTTATTAGATACCTACTTAAATATGATTATGATTAATTTTTTCTTTTTAATTAAATTGTATTTAACGTTCAATGTTACTCAGGAAAGTCTTCGAGGAGACAGTTCAAATAAGCTTCCGTTCTTTTATTTTATCGTTTTCTGAGTACAGATTTATGTAAACAACTTATGGCATGTGCCTGGATGTCTTCTACGATACAAAACAAATGTTAATGATCGATGAAATGCACGAGTTATATTAGTATTAAATACAGTTTAAAATGTTTGTTTGTAGTGATGAGATGCAGCTTGGACGTAGGTATCTCCTGGTAATATTTGTTCTTCAATGATGAAATTATTACGATGTTTAAATATTTATGATATGAAGTTGTATGGAATTTAATGTAGATGAAAGCAAAAAGGTTTATCAAATGACTTCATCTATAGATTCTAGGTAATCAGACAATCTATGTAAGACATCAAAAGGTATACATATTATATGAACTAAGTAAGAAAGCTCTATATTCTGGTGCATAATATTATACCTACTATCGGTGGAATTTATAATTTTTTCAGGTAAAACATTATACCGGAGAAATTGACATCTAACAAATGGTGGTATATATACTTTATATATACTTTCTCTGTATATACTTTCCGCCAAAAGTTTTCCCATCTTTTTCCATGAAATGAAATATTAACCGTGTTCACGAATTTCCATCAAAATAATATCTATACCTACCATCAATTCGTGTACTGTATATACATTTATATATACGGCAGAACCTCTTAATACCGGAAACTCTCGGTCACTGAAATTTTGTCCACAGTTTGGAGGTGCTCGCTATTATAGGAGGGTTCAATTTGTAGGTTGTAAAAACCCGTAAAAACGTACAATATTTTCAGGTGTCCGCTACTTAGAGGTGCTGGTTAGGGGCAGGTTCAATGTATTTATATATTTTTGTTTTACAACAATGATTACTTTAGATTCTGAGAACATTTTAAAGGGAAATAAAAAATATTGAATAGCTGTTCTAGGTATAATAAGTTTATCGAAAATACAATAAGGTATTGCAAAACGGTGAATCATCAATTTTAATAAATACAAAAATATAACCTACGCAAAATAAAATAATTATAATTTTCATATTGTTAGAATATTTAAGCAATAATATGAACTCCATCCGGTGCCGTAGTCTTGATTTGGTCAAATACAGTATAACAATAATATAAGATAAAGTTAATAATTTATTATTTAAATATAACATAATTACATCAAAATAATAATTAATTGTTCTTATTTTCCAGACACAAAATCTAAAATATACATTATTGTTGTCAAAAACAATTTAATACATATTATTATATTATGTATTAATGCTAAAGAAATTATTTTAATGTTTTTTTATGGAAACTTGTAATTCGTCAACTTATTCGATAGAAACAGCGGTAAGGCGGTATTGGTGATAAAGAGATAGGTAAATGTCTTTTGGTGTATGTCCGTTACAAATGGGCATAATTACCAATTTCCCCCAAAATTTAAAATCCCTCTTTTCCACCATCGCTGATTTCTGCCAATATAAAAAAAAGGTTTAATTCCATTTTCCGGCTTTCGCCAATTTGTCTGTTTCGATCACAATATTGTGAAACAACTAAAAATCAAAGAAAATTTATTTTTCATATTTACTGATTATTTATTACACACTTATGAAAGCAGTAAATCCCCCCAAAAAATACAAAGCATTTCCTTCAAAAATATCGAATAAATTATAATAGATAATTATTTTACCAAAACAGGTAGATAGATTGGTGGAAACGGGAATCAAATGCTCTCACACACTCACAAAGTCTCTCGACTTAACTACCCATAAATGTATCCCAAATTGTACCCTAATGATTGTATGATCAGGAACGGCGCCAAGGGGGGACAAGGTGGGGCTCTAGCCCCCTAGGCCCTAAGAGAAAAGTTCAATCTCCTCGCCAGCCCCACCACTGACAAATATGTACGATATAATAAAGTCATAAAACATTATTCTTAAAAGAGCTACATCAAAGTATTTATGAAATATACTTTTTAAAATTTTGAATTTATGGAAATACTTTCGTATACTTTCTCACTAAATACAATTACTTTAGTTTATATCTATAAAATGTAGGTAAGTAAAAGAAACATAATTATACATTCACAAAGGTATGTAATATTAAAGCCATAAAGAAAGCATCATTTTTGTACATCATTATTCATTATGAATATTGTTGTTAAAGGTCTGTGATTAAACATTTTCTTACATAAAAAATATTTGACATTATTCTTAAAACATTTTTAACTTATCAAAAGTCTGTACATAATATTATCTATTTATCTGTTTAGACTTTATGAGCATACAATATAAAAACTTGTGTACTATATAGCTAATAGCTATATTATGTTATATGATACGAAAATATTTATATTTTATTTATTAACCTCAGTGTTTGTTTAAAAAACCTTAGCCCATGTAAAAGAAATATTTGCCCCACTCTGCCCCCCCCCCGTAAAAAATTCAAGCACCGTGCCTGTGTATAATTCATTTACGTCGACAACATTAATGACTAGGGCTCGGATTTTGTAGCAAAATTTAATCCTTGAAAATTCATTTTAAGTAGCCATAAAAAGCAAAAAAAAAAGCATTTATTAATTTAATTCTAAAAACACAAATTTCATTTACACATAGAATTAGTTAATTAAAAAAGCAGGTAAGTGGAGGTCGCTCTGATGTACAGTAGGTTACAAGTGGGTCAATGTTTAATGGCTTGTATTAAACTTGAATTCAATGATATAATATCATTGTATAAGAAAAACGATTCTGAGCGGAGACGGTTTATCAGTCTGGATTTTTTAAATTTTTATTATTTATTATAGCCTTTAAGTTGAATTAATATTATAATATTATAATTTTTTATTCGTTTCTATGGTGATAAACAAAGCGTTAGAAATTAAAATCCTATTTTTAGCGGTTTTTCGTAATTTGTCAGTAGTTTTTCCCGTGGCATTAAATAACTATGGAGAAAATTGAAAAATGACCTCTTTTCCAGTTACTTTCATTATAACTCATTCTATTGGGTGCTAATATATTTTTATACACAGAAAAAGACCTTTTCACGTCAACCGATGTAATCGGTGCATATTAATTCATAGAAACTAAATCATTTTAATCATACTACATTTACGTTTAGTGCAGTGCCATTATGAATACTATTGACTTTTTAAAGTTCTGCTCATCCATTATTCTTTGAAAAACACGATTGCACTTTTTCAAAATCAATTTCGCTACTTCACCATTAGCTTCCTCTAACTTGTGTTTTGCTCCCAATACTTATACTTTTTGCCAATTAATGACCCGTATACTGGTGTTGGTTTTGTCGTGTTATAGGTACACGACGTACTTGAACCGGAGGAACGCGCTGCTCGGCATCGCTGGCGTCTGGGCGCTGGCCGCGTTCGTGTCCGTGGTGCCCATCTGCATACTGAGCATCCACCGGCCGCCCAAGCCGGTGGTGTTCCACGCGGGCGACACCGAGTACATGCGGTGCGCGCTGGACCTGACACCCGAGTACGCCATCATATCGTCGTGCATCAGCTTCTACATACCGTGCGTGGTGATGATCGGCATCTACTGCCGGCTGTACCGGTACGCGCAGAAGCACGTGCAGAGCATCCGGGCGGTGACGCGGCCGCTGACCACGACGACGACCACGACCACCGGGGCGGCCGCGGCGTCGTCGGCCACGCTGACGGCCGTGCACCACCACACGTCGCCGTACCACGTGAGCGACCACAAGGCGGCCATCACGGTGGGCGTGATCATGGGCACGTTCCTGCTGTGCTGGGTGCCGTTCTTCTGCGTCAACATCATCGCGGCGTTCTGCAAGACGTGCATACCCGAAGCCGCGTTCAAGGTGCTCACGTGGCTCGGCTACTCCAACTCCGCGTTCAACCCGATCATCTACTCGATATTCAACACCGAGTTCCGGGACGCGTTCCGCCGCATACTCACCACCCACTACCCGGACTGGTGTTTCTGCAAGGGTTACCGGACGGTGGTGCTCAGCTCGGACGCGTCGTTCCGGCACAACCAGCGGCGGAAGCCGACCGGCGGCGGTGGCTGCGATTTCGTGTCGTCCGCCTCGGCCACGGCCGTCGTCGCCGCGTCCACCGTCGTCAAGCACAACGGCAAGGCCGCGACCGCCGCGACGGCGTCTGCGCAGCAATCGGTGTGCGGCGGCGCGGGCGTGCCTCCGATCGCGAGCCCGAGGTCGTCAGTGGCGTCGCTCCGCCAGTCGAGGCTCAACTCGTCCGAGAAGATCATCATCGAAGCCGACGAGGAGATCTGACCGCCCCGCTGTGGCCGGCTACCGGGCGACGACGTCATGCCTCGTTTCACCGTCGAGTATCTCGTCTGAACGACAACGCTTGTAGAAACGCACATGTGCAGTTATACAATATTATTCGGTTATAATAATATTATAACATTATGATGTAATAATTTGTAAATTGTTAAACGTCCATAAATCATTATATTGTATACAAGTAATATATTATCATAAAGGCGGGTGTCCACTATACACGTTTGCCGTGTACACGAAAAATGGTATCGTGGTTAATCGTGTGGTCACTTAACGTAACCAACCAATCACAGCAAAGGATTTGTATATGCACGCGTATACGTGTATAGTGGAAACCCGCCTTCATCCCTCGGCCCGGTCGCGGTCTACCGGATAACCGGTAACCGAACAGGAACCGTAATTTGAATTTACCCTTGAAGTAGATTAAACAGCATATGCGCCAAACAGTGGAATAGCATATGACGCCCACCATGTCAGGTTCCGGTAGTTGGAAGCAGACATTGCAGGGAAAACGTTCCGGGAAAATCGGAACCCACGATATTATGTATAGGTGTTTGTCGATGGTTTTCACGGCTTCGATTGGTTTTTTTGTTTACTGGTTACGACCGACGGTGCATATAAGACTTCTAGACCAAATTTTCAAAGTTTTTCCTAGAACCGTACAGGAACGAAAAAAAATTACCAAAAAACCCGATCCTCTCACTGCACGCATTTATCCTGTCGACGAGTCTCACGCCGTCCATCGCCCTTCACCCTATGGGTGGCAGATCGTACCATACGTCACAATATAGTTTATACAATTAAGTTCCCTTTATCGATTTCCGTCGCACATTGAATTCGCAGCCCGTCCTGTTTGGTACATTTAAATAGGTATTGCAATAACTATAATAACATACACCAGTCATTAATACGGTGGGTGATAAGGGGGATAGATCTCTTTTTTCAATATTTAAGATCTTATATCTAGGTAAACTATAAGATATATTTTTAACTATCAATAATATAGGTGGACAGGTATCAAGTGCGTTTAAAAAAAAATCAGCCACATCTTTTTTTGATCTTCGGCTACATGGACCCACTGGGTGTGTGGGGGGGTTAAAGTCATCCATCCGGGAGCTAGCTACGCCATCGCACATCGTAGTGACTTGGCCCAACCACCATGGCACCTTATAATAATAATAATAATAATACAACTGGCTGCTGCCGTTTTCGCCACGGTCGACTGGCGATCCACATTTGCAATAACTACAATCAGGCCCTCCCCCCACATCGAATTTTGGGCACCTGTACTTAATGTTTTCGCTGGCCCTATTCAAAACTTCCAATAACGTACAACCCATTATACAAGCCATACAGGTGTCCATACACGTTTTCTAGGTAATTAACGGTTAACCCACAGCTTAAAATGACAAAATTACTTAATATTATATTATCGTATATATTTATGTCATAAAATAATATATTTAATATTATAAAATAAGTATTCAAATTAAAATTTCAAAAATTACAAATTTATTTCAACGGCTCCCTGATAGGTAGCGGGGCTCCTGTACTCCAAGTCCATCATTTCACCCCCCCCCCCTTGTGGGGACTCTGCCTAAAACTGACGTAATATTAATAATATATAATAAAATATTTATACATAATAATAATATTATCTTAACGTTTAAATATTTCACTACACGAATTTATAATAATTATCTACAGATTAAAATAGTATGCTGTACGTCAATAAACAATTTCACCGTATATTAACACGCCATTTCGGTCAGGACGATTGTATTCCGACGCTCTAAAATCCATATCCATCGGGTACGTCATTTTTGAATGACCCGTAGATTTAAGGTATGAATAATATAAATTTGTACTCTTTTTTCTTTATTATTTATTATTAATAATATGTATTATATAAGTTTATATATTATACCTACTATGTGCCAAATTTTTTCTCGCGTTTTACGTTGTTAATATAATATTTTGCATCATATAGAACTATGTGTTTCTGCATTCTGCAATGAGTAGTTCCTATATTTTAGTCGAGATGCTCGTGCATATAAGATATGTCTTTACATTTGCGTCTTTGGTCTTAGTCCATTATATTAAATATAATAATATAACAGTATTACCTATATAAGGCTATAATAATATGTCACTTGAGAAAGCGTCGATATGTTTCTCTTATAATATTATTGTCCTATTCATTAAACGTTTTTAGAGATCAGAGTTTAGGTAGGTATAGGCAACCGTGTGTGCGTGCATAATAAAAAAAAAATAGGTCTTTCATATTTTGATAGGTAGTGCAAGGTAGCGATCGGTCTTATCGTGTCATGTAAAAAACTGCTCAATTAGGTACGCAAGTACGTTATCTAAAATCCCATCAATAAAATTAAATTGAAAAACGGAGCTAAAAAAATGTAAATCAAAATTCGGTGATTTAACTTTTGTCGATTCGAAAAAATAATAATAATAATGGATTCTGTCTTGGACATATTATAATACAACAATGATAATAGTGTATACCTATGCATTGAATGGACAATATTTTGCACATGAGAAAAACGACTTACGATTGTCCGTTTGGTTTACGTGTATAAGATATGATATACAACTATATATAGGTACAGACCATATTATTATTAGGTTTATAATTTATTCCTGTTAAAAAAAATGTATAGAAAATAGAGTTAACCAAGTCAGTTAAAATCAAAAGATAAAACATAAGCCATCCATAGGCGCAAATAGGGGGGGACTTTAGGGGCTAAGCCCCTCCAAAATTGTCCATAGCCCCCAAAAATTTCCTACATGTTGTTTTAAGCTTATTCAGTGTTATCAAAGTAAGGCTTTAGCCCACCCCCCCAAATCCCAAAATTTGCGCCTATGAAGCCACCTCAACGGACACTTAGGGCCTGCATGACGCGACGAACGAACGTTTACACACCGGCAAAACACCTTATACCTATACTTTGTGAGGTATAAACACTGCGAAACGATGACGAGGAGAGTGTCTCAAAATAATAATAATAGTTTAATGCCTGTAAGTACCAAGTATCAAACGTTTGTGTAATGATATTATGTACGATTATGTGTGTAAAATATTAAATCAAATTAGACGAGTAAAGTGCAATATTATTATAACACAATAATGACGTTATTAAATTATTATTATAACGTCGGGTGCTTCTATCCGTCTTAACCACTTGCTGATTGCTATAAAAATATTTAAATTTACATGCGCATTGCTATCGAACAAGGTTAGGCTGCAGAAGGAACCTTCAAAATATGTCGTCCGGGTGAAGTTTTGACCTGCAAAGATGAGCAACTGTCGGCGTACGACAATATAATAATAGACCTATCGCATAAAATACGCGTTAATGTCTATATTAATACCAGCTCCTAGGTTTTAAACAGTAATAATATATTATTCAATCGACTCTCGGTAAGACGGTCATGACTCAAAGGTCACGGGGGAAAAAAAATTCGACTGACTAAAAATGCCGACTAATCAAAATCTTAGTGTGTTTGAAGGGGAATTTTATTTGTTCGGGATATTATTAAAGATTTCGAATTATGAAGGTTCGAGATACCGAGAGTCGACTGTATATTATATTTTGGTTTAAACCATTCTATTCATATCCATAATATAATAATATTATAGACGAGCAAACGTGTTTAAAAATCAATTTTTTTAATAGGACATTAAAATGTTTTTCAAAAAAATAAATCTTGTCATATTCCATAGGTACCATGTTTATATATGATTTTTAATACAATGAGTTTGAATGTCAAGCACCCGATTGTTAAAGGATTTGATTTAGGTGATTTTAATTTAAACTACGATATTTTAAAAGTAACTCTCACCCAAAAATTGTCTCATATCGGTACCATTGTTGATTGTTTGGTAATAATAATTATGTTCAAATCATGTTCGGTTTAACGTGGGGAAGAACCGAAAATGCTGTTATGGAAAAACTTTTTACTTGGGTAAAAGAAAACTAATTTACTATATTAAAAGAAGGTACGTTTGTCTGTTCGATATCGTTTTTCTCTTTTTGATATTAGTTTTATGAATAAAGTATTGTCTTCTCATAGTCGTGAAAATATTGTTTCTTTTGTACCTAATATTATAGTCCACGTGAAAAATATTTTAGCAGTCAAATTAGGACGTAAATCAACTTATTAACGGGTGTACCTCTACCGACTTACCTGTTGAAAATTGAAATTTTATTTCAAAATATATACGCATTAGCATTATTTTTAGTTTAGCCTCGCGTTGTTGTCAGATCGTTTATAATATATTATAACAATATTAAGTTTTTTTACTTAGTTTATGAATCCCATCCAATGTGATATGTAGGTTAGGTTACGACAAAATAAATTGTATAATATTGATTTTTGTGTTATTAAATTATTATTTAATTGTATTTATAAGTTAGTATTTTTTATGTATACCTACTTACCTATTTTTTTCTTATCAACATTAATTATTATTGTTGTTGTTGTTATTGTTGTTGTTTTAAACGCCATCGTAAAAATGTTCTCATTAATTGTACTATTATATTATATGATTTAATGTTGTAATATTAATCTACTTATACGTTTATGTTACGTTAATATAATAAATGTCGTAAAAAGTATTTAAATCTACATTTTTTTTTTCATTATTTGTTGACTATTTTTTTTTCCGTGGAAGATCGATGACAAGAGAGACGTTCAATTTATTTTTTATTAACATGTTCTACAAAGATAACATTGAAATCTGAAAAATTAAAAAGTTAACAATATGTTACAAATTAATCAAGCACAAACTACACATAAAATGCACATTTTCTGATTTCATCACCCAATTTTATTTTTTATTTTACTCAAAATATTTATGTGTTAAAAGTTGCTTATTATTAACGTTTGAATACATTGTGTCCTTTAGTTATTCCCTAAAGTGATTTATTTGTATCTATATTATAATATATTCAAAAAAACACTAATTTAAT